TCCTGCATGTACGTGGATTCGGTGCGGAAAGTGATGGCGGTGCAACGGAAGCAAGTATCTAACCGCAAGGGCCCCAGGCCTGCCCGTAATTCGGCCAGGTAGGAACGCGCAGAGTCCGAGTAAGTTGAACGGCTCTCCAGAACTCCGCTGTCAGCCTCTTTGGCTTCCGAAGGGCGATTGCGGGGCACACTGGCAGACTTGCTGAGCGCCGACTCCAACTGTTCTCCAGCGCGAGAGAAGACCTTGCGCAGGGGGTGAAGGTGCTCCAGGTTTTCGGCAGCTTTCTGCAGTTGAACACTCGGCTCGTAGAGTTTCTCCGCCATCTTTTTCGTGAGCTCCGAAAATTCAGTAAGCTGGTTTAGCAGAAGTTTCAGTCTAGAATCGGCTGTCTTGGTGGCTGTCTCGTCATCCAGATTGATTAGGGGCAGCGCAGTACAAGGTGTCAGAATGGAAAGTAATCCGTCACCCAGGGCTCGCAGGGTTTTAGCGAAGTTCTGACCAGCCTATGAGAGATAATTAATAACACTAGATGAGTTAGATGTCTCAGGTTAGGTCAATGAAACGATAAGGCCGCCGAGACACAGTCTTTTGGTCGTGGCAGAATGCATCCAAAGTAGGCGAAACATCACATTTAGTGGATTAACTAGCAAATAGTATAGGGAGGAGGGGGCGTGAGAAAACGGCCTAACACACCCCTCATTCAAAGTTCCCGGAAAGCCCGGAGGACACGAATTTTATCCAGGCGTGTGTGAATCAATGCAAACAAAGACACTATCCGAAAAATACTATTTCATTCGCAGTTGCTGTTTACACTTTCACTCGCAAAATTTTAGGTCACCTGCTGGTTGATGTGTGGCCTCAAGCCAATACCTTACCAGGCAGTAACTGAAGATGAATTTGGCTCTGCTTGTATTAGCTGCTACTACAACCGACCCAGGCATCTCTAAATTTTCGAAGTGTCATGCACCAACACGGCACAAGCTTGGCCTCCAACAATCTCCCTGTTTATTCGTCATTTGCAGTCATCGAAGACCATAGAACGCAGGAGACTGTTTCAGTAGGACCTGACCGCTTTTTCCCACTTTTAAGTCAGTCAATACGGTGTTTTTGAGCATGTGTTCAGAGAAATGACGTCAAAGATGACCTCCTCCTGTATCGACGAGATGCACGACCGAACCATGTGAAAATACGACCTTTTACTGAATCATAAACAGACGCCCAAGATTGCCCACGAAGTTTTGCGTTCAATAGGGGGTCCATCAGCCGCAGTGGCTGCGCTGCCTCGAAGGCACCGGTTGTTGAACATCTGTATCTGCTTCTGATCAGTAGCGCGTAGATGCAAATTACAGCAGGAGGTTGGAAATCATGGTCCAGCACATTTAATTGTTTGTCTTCGGCTAAACCTTGTAACAAGGTCACGGACATAATGCGTGACAGAAAGGAGGGACTGCAGGCAGGCGGTGAAATCTCGGCTTTGGCTACCATTAAAACACTGATGACATTTGTAGAAGTGAATACAATATGAAGGGGCCTAACCTTGGAGGCGCTACAGAACAAGTCCGAAGCATTTTTGTAGTGCTCTAGCAAGTATTCCACCTCACGTTCGCCTGTTTTGAGGGCTAGCTGGAACTGTGGTGAAAATCGGAGGCATTCTGAAAGGGATAGTGCCCGCCAAAGATCACGGCTGTCGACTGTGGTAAAAATTTCCTCCACTGCCATGCCTAAGGGGCTAAAAAATAGGGATAAGATGTAAGTTAACTGAAACATTTGTTTTCAGGTCAAAGAAAACCTCTGCTGGTCTAGCACTTAGAGTTTAAAGCAGGGTAGGAAGCGTGAATGTTCGCTCGATTTCTGGCCACGGCTCTTGTTTGCAACGTCGAACATAGGCTAATCACTTCGTTAGAAACGTACGTAAATCAGCCATACGCAACTTGAAAATGACGAATGACCGGTGGGGAAATATCGTACGAAAAGCAAAATCCAGTTGAGTCACCTCCATTTTTGCCAAGAGGAGGGGAAACGGAGGAGAGCGGAACTGATGGTTATAGTCTAGTTGAGGACAACACAGTGGGTTTACGGACGACGAATGATGATGTCCTTGTAGAACGCTCGTTACAAAAAAGGATCCTGAACTGAATAAAGGATCTTTCGGGAAAAATGCAGCGATAATACCTGCAAAAAATATGTGGATGACCGCCTGGGAAATCGGGGAATTATGGCCAATGCGGCAGCCGAAAAATCATATTAAGTCACACTCAGTGTTGCCTAACATTTGATAACGTTTCCATCGCCGATACCGACTTATAAATTAGGGCTTAACCTAAAAGCCGAACGGAAAAGGAAAGTTTGCTTTACGACTTACATCTGCAGAAACTCATGCAATTGAATCTTCAATAATGGACCGGACTATAAGACCTTTAGTAAGGATATTTGTTTCGGGTAACATGAAATCACTTTGGTCATCAATGAGATTCAAGCCCACATGACCGCTGTTATACCGCTGGGTCCTCACGGTGTCCAGTGAAGGGATATGCTCGACTTAGAATAGTGGAAAATGCTCAACGCAAGATATGTTTGGCTATGGATGGTAGAGTCTCTATTTTACGATCCTGCCAATCGGGTTTGAAGGTGTCTCCTTCCAACGTCAGATGCGCGATAATGAGGCCGTAATTAACTTGAGCGGATCACAAAAATTCGCACAAACGCAGGTTTTGAAAGCTTACACCACTCCGCAGCCGTAAGTACCTAGTCTATAGATAGTCAGGCCTCCTAGAACAGAAGTTTTCGGTAAACCGAACAGATATGTACCAGCGCCGACAATTCGAACATCGCAAGTGACACCGTCCACTGAGTGAGCGTGAACTGGTTCAGGGTAAAGCAGACTTGGGCTGCAGCTACCACAGTGTCTCCTCCTTCACCCACGTGGTTCTGATAGCAAGACCATTTCAAGACAACCAGAGAAATGGGCTCGGTCACAGTGACAGACAGAGCTGAACAGTCAGTTTTGCACGTGCTACACACGACACAGTAACCACGGAAGGTACCAGAATTTTGTACTGGTGTTCATAAAGACCGCATTAAAAAGGAGTTGTTGAAGCCTAACTCTCAGCCCTGATAAAACTGAACTATTCCCTCAGTTGGCAGCCTTCCAAGCTAGGACTGTTAGTACGTCGTAAATGTCTCAAGTATGTCAGATTTATTACAATGAGGAGTGCGCTGATGTGATATGGAAATGGATTTCCTAGTATTGGCCTCATACTCTCTTACCTCAGTCGACTGTCCCAAAACTCCAACCACCTGTGTTCGGTCTTCTTATAAATTCGAATCTACTTTAGAGAAAATATGTACAAAAACTATTATCCCTTGCACGCAGTTGATAGAAAAGTACGTCTTCATCAAGGCATTTACTTATGAGAAAAATACCTTTCAATTTTGAAATAAAATTCTTCTATTCCAGAATAATTTTGGAACCAACCTGCAATTACACTTGAGCTTGGCGTTTTCAAACTACATGCCGCATATTTTCCGTTTAAGGAGAAGCACAAAATCCTCAATGTTGCTGACAAGAAGTCATACAAGGTGCATGCAATTTCACCATGGATGTGGACCGTGTTGCATACATCTTAAGCCAAATTAATTAACGGACAGATACGATGATCTGTGAACGGACAAATGACTCTTGAAATAACTGGAAGACATCTCTTCTTTAGTTATTACACTTTATGAAGATTTAATGTCCTGTCAAATGAATATACAGAAGAACATGTTTGTGTACGTTTTCTAAGAAATATATGAATGTATAAGGGCCTCGCAAATCGATGAATGAAATGTATACTACTTACGTCGTCATACTTACAAACTGTAGTTTTTTTTAAGTGGCTGGAAATAAGCTTATTCGAAAGGGGGCATTCTGATTTTACTTAAATGTCTCAGGATTATAGTGCACGATAATTAAAATTATACGCCACCTATGTAATTTTCCCTGATAAAAAAAATCAAGTTTCCAAATGTCAGTTAACATTCCACTAGATAGGATGGCTACTGTGTGTGATCGGTCAAACGTAGCCCCTAACTGGCCGCGTGATAGATGTACTGGAACAACATGGGGTTTAGGTCAGGGCACGGCAGACGTTACTCGGGCTACGCTCTCATAACGAATGCCGGAAATTGGGGGGACACTGGTTGAACATGAAGGTGCACCCTCGGGCACTAGGCACCCGTGACCGTTATGGCAACCCTATTCCGTGGGATCTGAATCAGGCTTCGCGGCTCCGGCTGTCTGCACGCCCTTCCGCCTCATTAATGAAG